ATGCAATATACCTTTATCCGGACATCAGCATCTTGTGACAAATTTGGAGGATTGCATCAAACTTCAAAGAACTTGCTTTGCAAGGATACATTAAAAAATAACAATTCTGTCTGACATTATGTATGACGGAATATTAAGGAAAACCCAAATTTATGCACATTAATTCCTTAACATGGTTTAAAGTTCCTATCTCACTCAGCAGGCAATAATGCTCCAATACAACACAGAAGTTAATTTATTAATTTTTTATTTTGCCTTTGTTATTTTTAGAAATAATTCAAGGCTGCAAACATTCTAGTACTTTATCCTCCTCTCGTTATGTTCTTTTTTTAATCTTAGTTTCCTTGAAGTAAGATTTATTCCTTCAAACAATACCTGGAAGAAATAAAAGGGGATTTAACATTTTAAGTACCGGTAACCACTTTTATAGAACTGTAATTGCATTTTGAGTTGAGGATGTTTCCATTGTTGTCTTGATGTGGTAGCCCTCTCTCTTTCTAGACTGGTGCTCAATTGTCTTGGGAGCTCTTCTGGCCTTGAAGCTACTCAAAGAGCAGATAACAACAGCGGCCAGGAAGGCTTTTGCATAAATTAAACTTGTGTGCTAGTGCACACCTTTCTTGACTTGGAGGCTCTTTTGACAATTACTCATGCATGAGACTCAGCCCGGGCGACCTTCTGTATCCTTTGCCATGGTGAAGGTAGCCAATAGGGTCATTGTCAGGTACAAAAAATCAAGACAATTTGTGTTGATTGCAACATAAATGATTTATTGAAGCCTATATACAAGAATTGGGTCAATCAATTAATGGTCAGTACAAAATTGGTATTAGATAAGGGTCAACAGAATTCAAAAGGGGGGGGGGGAGACTTGGATCACTTGTGGCAATGCAGTTTCTAAACTGATGACATGCTTTACTCTGCCCCCCCAGCTCTGCCTCCTCTTCTCCTAGACTCTAGAGTCATTTCTTGAACCATATTTATATGCCCATTTTAAACAGTAGTTGAGATGGGAACTGGGGCTACTGCTAGGACAACCATGTGAAGTCAGACTTTGCAAAAGCATAAAAGCTGTTGAGGGAAGGCTAGGGAGAACCAAGGAATTTAGATGTGGACCAGTGGTGGGATTAAAATAATTTAACAACTGGTTATCTGCCCTAATGACTGGCTGGGTAGGCGTGGCTGGGTGGTCATGTGACTGGGTAGGCGTGGCCAACTTGACATAACTTATCACACCTAGCCCCGCCTCCCAGCCACTATCTCTTTCCCCAGTCCTTGGGCCTATACGTAACATCTGCAGAAATGAAAGGGTTAACCAACCCTCAGTTTCCTGACACAAATGCCCCCCCCCCAGTGAAAGGATGGTGAGAGACCAGCAAAGCATTCTGCTCCCATCACGAAGGAAAGTAAGACATTGGAGGCTGAGCTTATTAAAAAGCAATATATTGTGTCATAACAGCCAGCATTTCACACCTGAGGTGGCAGAGGCAATAAATCCCATTGTCTCCTCAGAAACAAATTACAATTAAGGCAGAATAATAAATAAATAGCAGAAGGAGAAGGATTGACAATACTTCTGTGCAGGCAATTCTGAAAGAGACTAAGCTAAAGCTGATTAACTCCTTCCTTCCTTCCTTCCTTCCTTCCTTCCTTCCTTCCTTCCTTCCTTCCTTCCTTCCTTCTCTCCTTGCTTCCTTCCTTCTCATTCCCATCTCCTTCCTTCCTTCCTTCTCATTCCCATCTCTTTTCTTCCTTCTCCCCTTCCTTCTTCCTGTCCTTCCTTCACCTCACTCCCATCTCTTTCCTCCCTCCCTCCCTTCCTTCATTTTTGGCCTGTTTTTGAGCCGTTTTCTGAGCCATTTTTGGTCATTTTCCAAGCCATTTTTGGCCATTTTTCGGATGAGAAATTGCCCCAAAATGGCCAAAAATGGCTTGGAAAATGGCCAAAAAATGGCCCAAGAAACTGCCCGAGAAACAGTCAAAAACAGCCTGGAAAATGGCCAAAAATGGCCTGAAAAACAGCTGAAAAATGGGCCGAAAGAAGGCCATTTGGGGGGCTGTTTTTTGGCCATTTTTAGGCAATTTTTCTCCCAAACACAGCTCAAAAAATGGCCCTAAAAACAGCCCAAACACAGCTGAAAATGGCCAAAAATGGGTGGGGGTGGGGCCAGCCAGTGGTGGGATTAGCTGGTTCACCAAACTGGGCAGAATTTTAACAACTGGTTCGCCTGAATCGGTCCAAACCTGCTGAATCCCACTTTTGATGTGGACACAAAGTACAATTAGCAAGAACATTCCATCTGTACCAGCCCAACATGATTTGTTTTAAAAATCAAAGCATGCTGCTGTCCCCTCTCTTTCTCTCTCCTTAAAAATAAATGAGGTATATTAATTTTTAAGAAGGGTCACATTTAATGTGCTTTAAAAAAAAGGGGGTTAGACATTTTCCAATCAGACCTTTCCAAACAGTCCCATTAGCATGCCTATCCCTTAAAGGATGGGCTGGAGGCTCTTTTCATTATTGCAATTAACCTGTTCCAGATTGGAATGCAAATTATTATAATAAGTAATATCATTGTTAATTCAAGTATTATAGAGAATACTAATTAAAAATACAAACCCAATTAAAGAGTCATTTACTTAGAGTTTTATCAAAGATAATGTCACTGAATGCATAAAAGAATCCAAACCTTCTTGTTACAGCATTACTGCAAAATAAAAGTTTGTGCATTGTCTTCCAGATTTAACAAGGTCTTAAAGAAACTTATTTCTGTCAATGAAAACGATGAAGGCATAGGCTCAGTATGATTAGCTGATGCATAAGTTATTTTGGCATAGAAAGCACTATGAGCATATAAAATGCCTAGCCACACGCCTATAGTAAAAATACAACGCTAATTTATCAAGAGCCAAATCCAAAAGTCAAAGATTGCATTCTTGATCAGCCTCAACACACAGGTGTTATAACAGGACCACTGTTGGACTAGTAGTCAGAAAGTGGCATATTCTCCCATCTAAGAGACAGAAGGAAAGCATACGTAGATGCGTTTATGTGGAATAATATTTCTTAAATCTTTTTTTTCCTCTCAGGACCCTTCATCACATCATTTAATGCTTTCATCTGCAACTCTCACAGTCTCGTCCAATAGGAATTGAAAACTGCCAACAGATCACCAAGTTATCTATCCCCTGGATATAACTGAAGCTCCATAGTTCCTCCATCAAGTGTGGTCAAGACTAGCAATATCTATGGCACTCAAGATTGCGGCACAGATATCATTTGGCTCAGGTTAAATCATGTTGACATTAAAAAGGTACATTATAATAAATAGCATATAATATATGTTAAATATAGTTATATTGGGTTTCAGGGGAACAAAATTTTTATCAATACAAATACAATTGTTGTGTCAGTGGCTTATTTAGAAGGACATCGAAATATAAAGGTGCCAGCCATTTGAACTACAGTAAAATTGTTTTTTCTATGAGGTTTTTAAATTAACAGAAAAGTTTACAAAACAATGGGACTTTTACATTTGATTTTTCCCCCGGTGCAGAGAACAAATTTCCTATACTCAATATTCATAAAATGTTATAGCTTCTTGGGCAGAAAAAATATATATATTTGTAGAAGTTGTAGACAATTTGAAGTTCTTATAGGAAACATCTTAATAACATATTGTGTATCAACTGGTAAACCTTACTAATTAATCATCACAGCAGAAGTGGTATTCAGCAGGTTCTGACCAGTTGTGAAGAACCGGTAGCGGAAATTTTGAGTAGTTCAGAGAACCGGCAAATCCCACCTCTGACTGGAGATTTTACAGTATCCTTCCCCTGCCACACCCACCAAGCCACGCCCACAGAACCAGTACTAAAAAAAATTGAATCCCACCACTGCATCACAATGAATATACATTCATGTGAAAAGGTAGGCAGGGCCCAGGTAAAGTTTCCCCCCCCCTTTTTGATATTGAATATTTTATTTTCAAACTGCTCAGAAAGCTGATGGATAGGTCGTCCTTGAGTAAGCAACCACAATTGAGCCCAAAATTTCTGTTGCTTAAGTGAGAGTTATTAAGTGAATTTTGCCCCATTTTACGACCTTTCTTGCCACAATTGTTAAGTACATCGCCGCAGTTGTTAAATAAGTAACATAGTTGTTAAGGGAGTCTGTCTTCCCTCCATGGACTTTGCTTGTCAGGTCGGAAAAGGGGATTGCGTGGCCCAGGACAATGCAACCGTCATAAATATGCGTCAGTTGCCAAGCGCCTGAATTTTGATCGAGTGACCACAGGGTTGGTGCAATGGTCTTAAATGTGAAAAACGGTCATAAGTCACTTTTTTCTGTACCATTGTAACTTTGAATGGTCACTAAATGAACTGTTGTAAGTCAAAGACTATCGGTAATTGACAAAAAACCTCTATGAAAATTGACTTTGTAACCATTTATTCAACAAAAAATTAACAGTTATATTATCATTTTTTTCTGTGGAAAAAGTATCTGCAAAAACAAAAGCAACTGCAAGTAGGTATTTCTTGTAACTATCTACCAGTCTGATATCAACTAAGAAGAATTTTCCTGCATAACTTTTTCAACAGTGTGGTATTTGATGGGTTTCTTGCATGCACAACACAACCCATTTCAAATCACCCTATATGGCATCTAAACTGGATTTAGTTCTAAGCTTTGGTTACAGTAGGACATTTTAGAATTTTCCATTATTCTTTTTTTCAGGTAAAACATTTAGGATCATTGTCATGATCACTTTACTGCAACATTTAGGATCACTGTCATATTATACAATATTCACTTTCAATTGAGCTAGAGTCTTCTGACAGAGGGTCTCACATTATCTTTAAGCATTGTTACACACCATATTCTCACAACCATATACACATTTTCTTTATCTGGAATCAGATTTTTAAGCAGTACATTTGGTTATTAGAGCAGTAAAAAAGTTTGTAGATGTATGTAATTAATAGGGCTTGAAAAGAACATCTGTGCATGGCTAAAAAAGAAAAAACAGGGCAAACGTATTGCTGCCCAGAGAAGCCAGCAGCAAAAAAATTCTCTTCTAATTTGTAATATGTACAGCCTCTGATGAAGGCCTACAATAGAAGAGTCAAATCCATAATACTGAGGATTCGAACCAGGCATTGGATTCAATTTCCAAAAAAAGGCCTGGAACACAGAAGACTAAAAACTCTTTTAATCAACAATAATTTTTCTGGTTATAATATGGCAGATACACAATCCCAGGATAATGTACAGTTGTTTTAAAAAGTTGTAGACAGAAAATGTGTTTCCGCCCCTGTCTGCATGCTCCAAAGCATCTTTACAAAATTATTTCTATAATTGTACTGCCACCCACAGATAGCCTTTTTTTAAAAAAAAAATCAGAGCATAAATAAGATTCCAGCATATAATTCATCTGATGGAGATTAAATCCAGTATGCCAGCAGTCTTCTGTGCTGCTTTATGAGGGATTAAAACAATTCACAAAATATTTAACTGAAAGTCAATAGGACTATCTCTCCAGTTAAAATAGTTTCCTTCAATATTATTCCCATTATATACATTTTGCATAACTTTGCTCATAGCAAAAAATATATGGTAAAAGTATGAATTTATTCCAGTAAAGTTCCCTGAAGATGGTCTGCAGCATAAGTCCGAAAGCTCGGAAGAGTAAATCTCTGGTCCCAGTGACCGATTCAGTTGAGTCTTGCAACATTATCCTGGGACACATATATTTGCCCTCATTTGGTAAAGGTATTTTTATAGATTAGCACAGGATTGCTTTCAGTTTCATGATTCAACCAGAAAAGGAAAGGAATTTGCTTTTCCTTTCTTCAATTTTTTTTCAGTAACAGTGTTGATGAACATTGGCTTCTTGCAATTAATACCACAGGCTAAATATACATAAATGCAAAAAAAAAAAAGAAAGAATCAGAAAAAAAAAACCATACGTACTATTATAATTTAGCATTATGTTTTGCTCTTTTTTATTTAAAATGTTGAAGTGGGTTGTATGGAATGGGTGTCAAACGGTGTCATGTTGCTGTCCTGTGATATTTCCCCCCTTCGCAGAGCTGGGGTGGGCATGGCCTGTGCATGACGTATCTGGCCCACAGGCCACCAGTTTGACACCCCTGTTGTAAGGGGTTCACTCCTTAGTATGAAGGAAGTTATAAGGGATTCACTCCTTAGTGAAAAGAAAAATTCTCGACAAAAAATTATAGCATGATATATCAGCATCACCAAATTTAAGTGTAGAGGAGTGCAACTGCCATTATTCATAAAGGTACTGCTGATTGCTAGTGACAGGAGTTGTCATCCTATATATCTGGAAGATCAAATTGGCTCTAATATGACACAACATGCAGCAAATCGTAACATGCCACACAACAGCAGTGCACGCCATCCAAGAATATAAAGTTTATAATCAGTTAAATTGTACTATAGAAAACATTTTATTATAAACTTAGATCAGTGAAAGAGATTAACAATACTAAGCCATATTGCAAAAGTGGTGAGTAGCTTATTAAAGGACACACCTGCCTCATCTAAAAAGATACAGGCCCTCCTTTTATAATTTGATGAAAGCTGTTTTCAGGAGGAAAACATCAGAAAGGATTCCATTCTGATATTTTTCTCTATTCGGCAGTTATTTGAGGGCTATATTTATTTATGGATATGTTTATTTCACTGCTTACTCAGTGGAAGCTTTTGGGGGGGAGGGGGAGGCATTACTAACACAAAGTGAACATTTTAATAGGTTTCAATCTAAACTGAGATAAACTCGTTACAAGTTTCATCTAAAGCCAGTGGTGGAAATCCTTTCTAGAATAATCTATTTCTATAACCCTGCCCTTTGAGACAGGAACAGAAGCACAAACCTAAGACAAAATAACTTAGTGTCTTGTCTTACTTAGGTGGTTCCTGTAGTCTTTAACAGGATGAAATGGTGAACCATAGGACAAAATATTTTGAACCAAGGTACTTCAAATGAACTAATTTACAGAATACTTCAAAAATATGGACTCGTGTTTTCCTTGGAATTGAAATTTGGTACATTTTATAAAACATTTTATGACAAAAACATCATAAGGATAAAAAACAAAAAATATCTAATACAAAAGTCATATTTCCTGTGCTGATGTTTAACTATGCTGTATATGGTAGTTCAACATGAGCCAATTTCAAGGCAGATGCATCTCTAAAGAACATCCCAACTTTTCCAGCAAAGATAGTACTTTAAGAAACAATCACTGATGAAGGCGTTGAGGAATCTGATAAGGAAATATCTCTGAAATAATGACCCTATTGAACATAGGTTGTCTAGTATGTTTATAAATTTAGCATATGATACAAGGACAAAAAGCTACCCATCTATGATTAGTGTACCAGATACTTATGGCTAACAGCTTCAAGCAAACACAGCTGTAGTCTAGTGAACAGTTTGTATTTATCATCCATTCTTCCGTGCTGTGAGTTTTATGCAGTTCCAGCTTTTACAAGGCTTATAATTTTTTTTAATGCCACAGAATCATCCTCCTTTAAAAATGCAGAATGTGGCATTTTCATGGCATTTAAATTAGGCAGGTGAATCTGCTGCATGACCTTAATCTGACTTTTCTGATGTGTTAGGAGCCCTTATGACTACAGTTTTTATCTGTTCCCTCATTATATCAAGCATACATGCATAGGACAAAGTATAGAATAATTATAACAGCATAGCAAGTTAATCAGTATTGCTTAGAAGGGCAAATGCGGTCCATTGAGAACAGCACCATATATTTCTCAGTAAAACTGGATTAGGAAGTAGACAAGTCCACTGGGCACTCCTCTCATACCTCACACCCCATCCTCGTAGCTGAAATGTGGAGAAAAATGCACGTGCATTTTTAGTACAATGGCATCTTCTTTTCTAATTAATGGCTTTCTTATCTGTGGCTAATGAAAGGCACATAATTCAAATTCCAAATTAAAACAAAAACAAACAACAAACTGCTATAGGGAGGAGATCAGAAGATTGCTAGGAGAAAATAAAGGAAAAATAAAAGGACTAATTATTGCATATAATAATTCCCCTTCTTGAAAATATTCAAGATTTCCCAATGCATTAATAGTCTGCTTTATAGTATGTACTCTGCCACAAAACTTTGGGTTCTCAGGAGATGATCAAATATTCGGTTGTTATTTTTTCTCTCTCCCTTTCATTCATAAAACAAACTTCTTAAGTTTTGTTTTCAGCCATACAAGGCAAATTATGCAGTATTCACTTAAGGCAGGGAAACATTATTTCCTCCAGCTTTATCTTCCTTCTTTGGCTATAAAGGGAGAGGAACACAGCTGAAATTTATCTCTAGTTTTGCCAGCATCTCTGGGTTAACTCTAGTATCTACTTGACACTTGTTCAGTTTAAGTTTATGGCTTTCTGTATGTATAGATTTGCCAATAATCACTTCCCTATTTAGGGTTAGAGTTAACTACACCGGCTGGCAATTTCTCAAGCCTCTAGGACATTTTCTTTCTTGATCTTCCTGTCTGGAACATGATCCCACCACAAGGTATTTCTTCCCCCTCCAGATAGAATTCCACTCCTGTACTGATCTATTCACCTCTTCATTGTTCTTGGGCTTTCTGGAACACTTCCAACTATCTTCTTCTGGACCATCTTGAATTCATTCAGCAGTCTTGCATCTGCTCTGGAACAAGCAATTCTAAATGTGCCTAATCTGGCATAGTTCAAATCAAGTCGTCATCTGGAGCCTTGACTTACTATTGCAACTTACAACCATAATTCTGAGATTTCATTTTTACAAATCTGTCGAAATCTAGAGCAGGGCTGTCAAACTCCCGGCATGCGGGCCGGATGCATCACGTGCTGACCACGCTTATGCCCAGTTTAGCGAAGGGGGGGAAAGTCCCGATATGTCCTGTGATGCTGCCATGACGAGAGTTTGATACCCCTGGTCTAGAGTCTTAACCAAATAATTAGGGCCAAAGATTTTGAGACCTGTGGTAGTTTTGAATGTTTGAGGAATTTTCAGAAGCAATATGGGTGCCTTAAGGCTTCTATTTTGTCCTGGCTTAGTCCCAAAGCCATTTGCAATGTGGTTTTTGTCTTGATCTTTATAATATCAGAAAGGGTGATTTCTGAGTGTGATTCTGATAGCCTGTTTGTATGTGAAAAATTGCACGTTCTATTAAGTTATCCAGAAAGGGCTGTAATGAAGTTCTAAATCAGGGGTCCCCAACCACCGGTCCACGGACCGGTCCCGGTCCGTGGAACAAGTCCTACCGGGCCGCTGGCTTGCTGGGCGCCGCCATCTTGTTTTGATGAAAAAGTGCTTCCGGTGAGCTTTTCCGGGTAGAAAGCTCACCGGAAGCACTTTTTCATCAAAACAAGATGGCGGCGCCCAGCGCTTCCGGTGAGCTTTTCCGGGTAGAAAGCTCACTGGAAGCACTTTTTCATCAAAACAAGATGGCGGCGCCCAGCTGATGTTGGTACCGGGCCGCGCCATAAAAAAGGTTGGGGATACCGGGCCGCGGCGTAAAAAAGGTTGGGGATCACTGCTCTAAATGATCAAGGAAAAATTTCATCACACATGAAGCCATCGTTAAGCCAACTGCTTAGGAAAAGGAAAGCCTTTTCTGTATCCATCTTTCACTCTCCTTTCCACAAACATATTTAACCAAATGGGAAGCATTTGTTTCAAGATACTAATACTTTCCATCTTCCGTTACACTCTCCAGGAACCTGCAATAATCACTGTGCAGTTTAGTCCACTGATAAATTACAGCTTAATCATTCAGGGCCATTCATCTCAGCACGACCACATAGCATTCAAGATAGTCCTGGTATCTGCTGCTTGAACTGCTAGTCACTGATGAGTTATTAGCAATTCTGCATACGTGGCCCATTAAACCAGCTAGTGAACTGTCAAGCAAGAAGCTCCATTTCCAGTTATTTAGTAGTCTCTGAAGTGCCTGGTGATGGGGGGAGGGGAGGAGGGGGAAGAAAGTCTAGAATTAAATCATGAGGTTACTTAGGAATACAAGAGAGGCTACTGAAGCGGTAGAGTAGCTGCTCATAGTCTGAGCCCTGTAATTGACTTTGAAGTAGCCTTGCAATCACAATAGTCCATTAGCCCTTTAATTTAGTCTTCTTGTGACAAGGATTTTAGAATGTTGTGGTGTCACTGAAAAAAAAAAAATTAAAGCAAACTCGGCTATAGGAAGCAAGTGAAACAAAAAGCCACAGACTTTTGAATGGCATAAGTTTTAAAGAATAGATCTTTGGATTGCCAGATATAAGGGATTATTAACATTTTTTTAAATTTAAAATGGAGAATTGCTTTCTGAACTACAGGTAGTCCTCGACTTACAACCATATGTTTAATGACAGTCCACTGAAAAAAAGTGACTTAGAAGCATTTTTTTTCCGCATTTACGACCATTGTAGCATCCCTGTGGTCACAGGATTCGACATTCAAGACATTTGGCTACTGGAATGTAATTATGATGGTTGCAGTGTCTTGGGTTCATGGGATCCCCTTTTGTGACCTTCTGACAAGCAAAGTCAATGCGGAAGCCAGATTCACTTAACAACTGGTATTACTAACTTAACCGCAGTGATTCACTTTGCAGCTGTGGCAAGAAAGGTACTAAAAGGGAGCATCTGTCTTGCTTAGCAACAGAAATTCTGTGCTCAGTTGTGGTTGTAAGTCAAGGACTATCTGTAAGTTAAAAAATGTGAGAGACATTTTATTGTGCAAAATAGTTGCATTGGCCTGGCATAGCATGTATTAAACCAGAGGTCTCCAACCTTGGCAACTTTAAGACTTGTGGACTTCAACTCCCAGAATTCCTCAGCCAGCTTTGAGGAACTCTGGGAGTTGAAGTCCACAAGTGGGAGTTGAAGTCCACAAGTCTTAAAGTTGCCCAGGTTGGGGACCCCTTTATTAAACCATCTCCATCTCAAAAGTTATGTTCTTTTCAAGAAGTTTCTCATATGCATTGCAGTTGAACAGCCCCAGGTTCAGTAAATTTAAATTTCTCATGCAACCTCAGCTGGAAATTGATTAATTTCTTTTTATTAATCGGGATGCAAAATTACAATTTCTCAGTTTATATACGACGGGAAATAATGGTTTGAGAAACCCAGGAAGTAATCAACTGTGTATTCAGTTTGATCAGAGAGAGGAAACCAGTTTTGTTTTTCTGATATAACAGAGAATTGCAATTTAATTAACCACAATGGATGCAACAAATGTAGTTATATAAAGCAAGGCGCAAAGGGGCAGTGTTCGGGTAATTTTTAGTTACATTGGAAGCAGCTTAAACTCTCAAAACAAAATTTAAAGGACAATCTGGGGGAGGTCATAGGAATTTTGGCTTGTTTGTCACGTTTTAAGTGTGGTTTATAAAAAAGGACCTCATACAGTTTGCCTTCTACAGTGCATTTCTCTGGAAATTCATCAAAATAAATGCAAACTCACACACGCTTCCTCCTTTTCACAGATCTCTTTTTTCAGTGGATAGATTTTAGCAGCTCATAGTTGAAGGCTTTTAAGTTCTCTAGGCCAGCGCCCCTCAAACTTTGGGCCCCAGGGACCGGTTCCATGGAGAAAGATTTTTCCACGGACTGGAGGTGGCGTGGTTTTGCATGTTGCCTGCATCCCGTGGATGGCGCTTCGCTTGTTTGCGAGGTCTAGTTTCTGCATGCTGAGGCCCAGTGCCGGTCCATGGACCAAGAGTTGGGGACCCCCACTCTAGGCAATTCTTGGGCAAAGAATGAAATAAAAAGAGTTACATGCAATTAGATATCCAATTTTCAGCCCAGCTCAGGTGTGGTCACTTTGGGAATCAACTCTTATTTCATAACTACACAAGAGTTCTCTGACCTCTTACTGTGGCATAAACTTTCCTGGTTTACTTCTTCAGATATATGAAATTGGCAATGATGATTAGAAAGGATAAAATATGGGAGGAAAGGAATTAGGAAATAAAGGAGGACGATAGATGATTAAAAAAATGTTCTGCAACTGCTGTAAAGATAATCAGAATTCAATATAAACCACTTTCTAAATGCCTCAAATACAAGGCACTGAAAAATGCAACTTAAGACCGTTTTTCACAGTTATGACCTTCGCAACAGCATCCCCATGATCATGTGATCAGAATTCAGATGTTTGGCAACGGGTTCATGTTTATGTTCCAAGGTCATGTGATCCCCTTTTGCAACCTTCGGACAAGCAAAGTCAATGGGAAAGCCAGATTCACTTGACAACTGTGAAAAGGAAAGTCGTAAAATGGGGCAAAACTCACTTAACAAATGTCTCATTTAACAACAGAAACGTTGGGCCCAATTGTGATCATAAATCGAAGACTACCTGTAATGCATAACTTCGTGTGAACCATCCTATAGTCCACAACCATTTGAGCTTATCTCTAATTTATACTTTTGCCATGGCATAGCTGCCTGTGCAAAAGTCATTTTTAATCATTATTTTTATTTTTCATATTGGGGACCACATTGTGTCAGCTTAAGGAACAACCCTTGTAGAAGGTTTCTAAGATAGAACATCTTCATCAATATTATTCACAAATTAAATAACCTAGCTTTTTATATTCCTGGCACTAGCAAATAATAAAGATATTTTAAATTTTGTATGATCTGCTTTTATTGTACACATGCTCAGAGACACATTAGTGAGATGGTGGCTATATGAATATGATGAATGAATGAATGAATGATCATCAAACATTGCAATAAAACAAAAAAGTGTAATAATGATCTTATTTCACTGATTTAAGAACTGTCATGTCCTAAAAATCTGAGATCTCATATTCAATTAGGCCATTTAATATTTTTTTTAATACCCTTATTACTTTTGGTGAGAAAAATTCAAGAGGACACTATGAAAACTCTCAGTACCGGTGACATAATTTATCAATGAACTGAGGACAACACATCCCTGGTATAAGAGCTCAGAAGAGATAGGAAAGAGAGGAGGAGGTCTAAGGAGCAGCAGTGACAGGAGACTTAACGAAGGATACGCAGTCCTATCTTGGATAACTTTTTTATCCTTATATCCTTTTTTATCCTTTATGACTTATGGGCTTTACAATATATTCTATTCTTTTATGTTTTCAATTTCCTGCAGTTGAAAGCATGCAAGGAACAGTTTCAAAAAGCATACCTAACAGCAATATTCTCCACATAAGGAGGACCAAAAGGTGGTGTGGGTTGGGAGAACAGAGGGAGAAATAAGGAGGGCTGGCTGAGGAGAGAAATAAAAGCACACTAACTGGCAATTCAGTGCCTTGGTATTACCAGCCTGCTGAGAGCAATTACAATAGCACAGACAGCCCTTGCTTTATTGTGACCGTACTGAATTAACTTTGAGGGCAGGGGAAAAAAACACAACCACTCAGTGATTCAGCAGGGAATTTATTAGAAAATTTTAATGCCAACGTAAATTTGATCCAAAGGCCTCAATATTAAAGGTCATCTCCATTACTATGCTACTGGAAACCCATGGGTCCTTTTGCTTCCATGAGCCTCCATTCCTTTCCTCTTGTTTTCTTTCATAAATAAATTAAAAAAAATAAATAGGTCAGCATTCATGCTTCAAGCTCCTTGGCATTTTT